CATTTTTGCAGAATATTGTTACGTCAAGGAAACTATAAGAAAGAGTTCATTTATATGTAAACTGACCTGCTAATATCTTAAAATTCGCACAATGCACAGTAAAGATACGAGGATAAAGTTGAAAAGTGAATGGATAGAATGAAAAAGGGAAGAATGAAAAAAAACACAGAATGAAACGAAGAAATAAAACACACAATCTTCCGAAGATCTAATCAAGCTTGGATCCTTAATTGCATTAGATTATCAAAGCCAGACTCTTCTGGCCTGCGTGGCCAGTGTTCTGTAAAGTTCACGACCTCAAAAGCACGACCACTGAATCAAAAAAAAGAGGAAAGAATAAGCTGATGGTCTTCAACATTTTTTCTCGCTCTGACACCTACGCTTCACGATTTCACCTCAATATTCATTCTGGTAAGCGTGTGTGGGTGAATGTTTACTTATGTATGTATATACATATATATACATACATACATACATACATACATATATATATATAATATTATATATATACATACAGAGAGAGAGACACACACATTATATGTATATACATATGTGTATATATATATGTATATACATATGCGTATATATGTATATATATATACATATATGTATATATGATATATATATGTATATATCTAGGTATATATACAAACACACAGACACACACACACACACATGCACCAACATACTCACATATATATGTATGTATACACATATATAAATATTTATACATATATATACTTATACACTGTATACTATTCATAAATACATATATACAAACATATCTATAATGAGGGACAGAGGGAGAGGGACTGAGGGACTGAGGGTGGGAGCAAGGGTGAGAAACACGCGATATTTGATGTGGCCGCGAACACCATATTAATATTTTCCCAGTACAAAGCCTTATAAGTTAGGATGCTCGATGACTTGGAAGCAGCAGTCTTCTTTAGTATGAACAAAGGGTACTCTAATCAAACAATTTAGTCATGTAACTACTAGGGGGAACTCCCTTGAGTAAATAATTTTATCGACTAACCGACAACTTGCAAGGAAAGTTGCCAGTTCTTATTCGTTTGCACAGGCGGTGAGGTTGTCGTCGCAAGCACTCATTCAAAGGCAATTAACAACACCCGGTCCTGGTAAGAAATACAACTGGCACTTCTCAAATATATACATACACACACACACATGTACATACATAGACTACATACACACATGTACACACATAATTACATACATAGACTATAAACACTCGTGCACTCATACACACACGCAAGCACACACACACACACATATATACAAACCAAACAAATAAAAAACAACGCCAAAGAAAGGACAGGCAAAATGCAGGAAACAAGGAAGTAACGAAAGGAAACGAGGATATAGAAGAAATGGTGTTTCTCTTGAGCTCAGTGGTTCACCTTCAAGATAAATCCTAAGGGTCGACGTCTGATTACACAAGGTATAGGAGTACAAGAGCTTTTATATGAGCACTCGGGCCTTTTAACATGGGTGGAGTTTAATTATTCATTTTTCTATTATACTTCTATTTTATCTCGTATCTTCTTTTCTTATTGTTTACTCAAGTTGATTTGGAAAGATATTTTTCTGCGTGTTTAAATTTCATGAGGGTTTCTCCCACTATTTTCCTTCCTCTGTTCGTATTATTCCTGTGGTTTCAATTTGTTACGTCTTCACTATATCTGATACCTTTATGTGTCTATATTCCTTATCCCTCTATCCTCTCTTTTCCTACTTTACTTAAAATTCAATTATTCTGATACACATTTTTTTCCTCAATATCTCCTTTACCCTTTCTTATCCTCAACACCTCTTCCACCTTTCTTTCAAAAGCACTCGAAGGGCACGAAAAAACACTGCTTCACATTGATGATAGACCTATAAATTTTACCGATATCTAACCTCAAACACAAGACATTTTTTTTCGTTCCCCATCTCCTTCACTCATCCTTCTGATGCCGTATATAAACAAAATTTTCCAAGAACTATTCTGAAGATCCCCAGGACAATGAAGACGATCAATATACAGATAAGAGGTTCACCCACTCAGATCAATACAGAAGTGGATCGATGTATGCCTTAATTATAGCCGCATGGAAAAAAGAAAACAGGGTGCGGTTTCTCTGTCTCTCTCTCTCTCTCTCTCACTCTCTCTGTCTCCCGCACTCTCTCTCTCTCTTCCTCACTCACTCCCTCTCTTCCTCACTCACTGCTTCTCTTCCTCACTCACCCCCCCCCTCTCCCTCTCTCCTCTCTCTCTCTCTCTCTCTCTCTCTCTCTCTCTCTCTCTCTCTCTCTCTCTCATCCCTCTCGCTCTCTCTCATTCTCGCTCTCTCTCTCTCACTCACCATTCCCTCTCCTCTCTCTCTCCTCTCTCTCTCTCCTCTCTCTCTCCCTCTCTCTCTCCTCCCTCTCTCTCTCTCTCTCTCTCCTCTCTCTCTCTCTCTCTCTCTCTCTCTCTCTCTCTCTCTCTCTCTCTCTCCTCCCTCTCTCGCTCTCCTTCGCTCTCTCTCTCTCTTTCTCTCTCTCACTCCTCTCCCTCTCCTCTCTCTCTCACTCCCTCTCTCTCTCTCTCTCTCTCTCTCGCTCTCTCTCTCTCTCTCTCTCACTCTCCTCTCTCTCTCTCTCTCTCGGCTCTCTCTCTCTCTCTCTCTCTCACTCTCCTCCTCTCTCACTCCCTCGCTCTCTCTCTCTCACTCTCTCTCTCACTCCCTCTCGCTCTCCTCTCTCATCCCTCTCGCTCTCTTCTCTCTCTCTCCCTCTCGCCTCTCTCTCTCACTCCCTCTCGCCGTCTCTCTCTCCCTCACTCCCTCTCTTCTCTCTCTCTCCCTCTCACCCTCTCGCTCTCTCTCTCTCTCGTCTCCC